TGCCCACCTTCGAAAAGGTGGTCGATACATGCGACCACCCAGCCCGGACGCCTTAGTCATGGTGGATTTTTTGTCTTCGAACACATGCCCACCCTTGAAGGAGTGGTCGACACATGTGATTACCCACCTGGAGGCCTTAGTCATGGTGGATTTTTTCGTCTTCGAACACATGCCCACCCTCAAAGGAGTCGTCGATACATGCGACCACCCAGCCCGAAGGCCTTAGTCATGGTGGTTTTTTGTCTTCGAACACATGCCCACCCTCAAAAGAGTGGTCGATACATGCGACCACCCAGCCCGGTGGCCTTAGTCATGGTGAATTTTTTGTCTTCAAACACATGCCCACCCTCGAAAGAGTGGTCGATACATGCAACCACCCGGCCCGGAGGCCTTAGTCATGGTGGATTTTTTGTCTTCGAACACATACCCAGCCTGGAGGCCTTACTCATGGTGGATTTTTTTTCCTTTCGAACTGCTCAAACACTTCGACCTGCCACTGAGGTCGACAAGAAAATACACCAAACACCACAAGATATAATAGTAATTGATCATTTTCGTCAGTCCTATCAAATTCATAGTTATATCGAACCAGATAAAAAAAAAATAATCAAGCATATTTTTTGACCTTCCTTTCATATTACTAAGAGCGTTTTCTTAGTAGATACGACAGAAAAAAATGATGATTTTTCCCAATACAGGACTTTCTTTTTCTTCTTCCCCTCCCATTCAGGACAGAACTCATATGGTCTCTCTGAAGATTCAAAATACAGAAGAGGCCTGACTGGTTTACTTGATTGATTGCTTGCCCGGGCTGTGCACAATCAAAGAGGAGCGATAACTTACAAGGAGAGTACACGACGACTTGGGTTATTATTTACTTCATGCTTTCCACTCATCACCGTAACCAATATCCAGTACATATGTTCGTGTATTTTCCACAGCAAGAATTTCAACAAATCCCATTAGTCGTATTTTATCCGCATCATTCAATTTGCAATCCCGATAGAAATAATAACAAAAATACATAAATCAAAGCAATCAAATTGGTTCACATACTTTTATTCCACCTCTTCATCTACATGCAAGCCTCTTTACCACGATATGAAATCACATAAACACCTACTCAAATGTACGGTCGACCAGAATTTCACAAAACCATGAATTCAACAAATAATTTCAACAAACTATAGTCTGCAGCTACAAACAAGCATCAAAAGAATGCACCAAATGAAAATTCAAATGAGTTACTCCCAATACCAAGCTCCTTAGTCATGACGACTCGAAACTGGCCAGCTCGAAGGCCTTAGTCATGCCAGGTTTTGTTCGAGGCTCCACGTACACCTCATTTTCTGCATTTTGCTAGTCACTCGAATGATAATTCATAATATATTCATATACACCATAATCTCAGCAACATTTTGCAAAAAATATTCAAACACTGAACATCCCTCCAAAAAAGAATGCTAAGATACTCAATGTATCACAAAATCGTGTCGGTAAAAGAGAATGATTTCTGCATTTTTAATTGCCCACGGTGATCGATGTTGTCCAAGTTCGTCCCTCATTATCATCCTCCTTTGGTGGATTCATGCTTGTTCATTTTGTACTCGGAACTCAACAGCTCGTCCGCCATAGCTTGTCAAGATTCGGGTTATTTCGTCGTTTCCTCAACAAAAATTCGAAAAGATATTGTTATCCGTATTATATTCACATCATCCATTTTACAATTCTCCACGCCATAAAACAAGATATCAAATACAAACATCACCATCTGCTCGATTTAAGACATGCTCGAGCAATGACATACTTAAAAATTTATGACTCATCCATTTCAACAAAATTCTAAACTTTCACATGAAAATCCAAATGAGCGGTTCTCAATATATCAAGACATCAAATTATGCAATTTTGATCTATTTCCATGAGGCCACCGATAAATGCACCAAACACACGATAAGCACAATCACAAATAACCTCAATTCAAAATCACGACCCGCATTTATTTTCAATCAAATACATCAACGAACAAATCAAATATATCTCCAAACAAATAAAATATATCCACGATCAAATCCAATAATCCCTCGATCAAATTAAATAACCATCCACAAATAAATTCAATAATCCCTCGACAAAATCAAATATATCCACGAACAAATCAAATAATCCCTCGATCAAATCAAATAATCATCCACAAATAAATCCAATAATCCTTCGATCAAATAAAATATATCCACGAACAAATCAAATAATCCCTCGATCAAATCAAATAATCATGCACAAATAAATCCAGTAATCCCTCGATCAAATCAATTATTCTCCACGAATAAATCAAATAATCTCATCGAATAAATAAATTATTCTCCACGAATAAATCAAATAATCTCCTCGAATAAATCAAATATCGCCATGACCAATCAGATAATATCTCCTCAAATAAATAAAATATCGCACCGAACTAATCAAATAATTCCACGATCGAATCAAATATCGCCACGAACAAATTAAATATCTCCATGAACAAATCAAATAGTACCTTCTCGAACCAATCAAATATCTCCACGAATAAATCGCATAATATCGCTTCGAAAAAATTAAATATTTCCACAAATAAATTAGATAATCTCCCTGAATTCATCAAATAATTTCCAAAAATATATCAAATGATATCTCCTCGAATAAATCAAATATCACCCCAAACAATCAAATAATATCTCCTCGAATAATCAAATAATCTATCAATTTTCACCAATTTAAATCCTCAAGTCTCCAAATTTTTCAATTTAAACCAAATAATTTATCCCATTTTTGCCAATTCAAAAATTCTTTAGACTCATAGTTTAAATTAACTCCATACTTTCCTCGCGAGAATATTATTTCAAATTATCTTACCGTCCACGTCGAATCATCCCGAATTAGCTTTGAGCAGAAAATGGGGTTGTTGGAGCAGTCTGGGCCATATTGGACCGCGTTTGGCCGAGTTGGGCTCCATTGGAGTTGATTGAGCGCGTTGTGGGCCGCTTTCACTGCTATTGGGCCGTAAATTTGTGGATGATGGGCCGCGCAAGGGCACTGGGCTGTGGCTTGTAGGGTGAGGACGCGGGCCGGAAGCGGGCTCTCGCGGGTTGGGGGTTGTACGAGGCGCGGGTCGGAGCGCGGTGATGAAGATCGCGTGTCCCGACTACCGATAAGCCACAAACCAGTGCCTTGAATCGTTGATAGGTGTCCAGAGGTTCACAATCCGTACCCCTCTAAATGAATAAAATTGTAATAAAAATCAAGAAGAAATCTAAGACAAAGCGTTTGAACAAAAGATCGAGATTTTTATTAATAATTTTGATGATGAAAAATAACAAGAGGAAGGGCCTTTATATAGGCACAAACTAAGTCTAATCCTAATCTAGCTATAACTCTAATAAAGCAATAAAATATGAAGTAACCTAAACACTCTAGATATCATAATTCTATAAGGAAACTAAATAACTAAGGGATCTTGAAAAGCCTTGTCTTGCACCCAAGCAGAAGAACCTTAGCCGCCCTTCCGATGCCTAGGTCGTCCATCGCCTGTGCGCGCCTTGCCCTAGTCTTCGAGGACTAGGGTCGCGTCACCTTCACCCACGCGTGCATTGTTGGGTTCTATGAGGAATGTCAAACAACATGCACAGTATTGAACTTATCGAAATAAATCCTAACGCAGCGGAATCTATAGTTAGGATGTGGATATTACCTTTTAAAATTTTTGCCGACTCACAGACGATGTAGAATACTGTTGATGTAGTTCGTCTGAACACCACAATCTAATGGGCAGATCAGTGAAATAAATAGCGCGCTATAGCGGCGCTATAGCGCCGCTATAGCGCGCCGTTTAAAACAATGCGACGGTATTCTTCTTTTTGGCGCTATCGGCGCTATTCGCGCTATAGCGCCGCTATACTGGAATAGCGCCGTAGCGCCGCTATTTTGGCGCTATCGCCACCAGTCCAGATTTAACATGTGCAGCCCATTACTTCATAAAAAAAAAAGCCTGGCCCAATTGTGCAGCCCGT